CCAAACCTATCGATAGATATATTTATGTAAGTAACCAACTCGGTTTCTGTCGTAAAAACAACGGTAAAGATTGTCTTTTTTTTTGGTCAATTTTGAGCCTTTAAAGTGCTCTAGCAACTTATGGTTGTGAGATATAACTTTCATTTTTGGGATATAGGTTCTTTGGAGCAGTAGAAATATTATCGTGTACAAATTTTATATAAATTCAACAAATATTGAGCATTTTAAGGCAAAAAATTGTTGAAAAAATTTGCAAATTTTTTTCATTACCAAATTGCTCGAAAACCTTTTGTTTTCTTTAATCAAAAATTCAAGAATTTTCATTTCGGTTGGTATAAGGGAAGTATTGGTTGATATCTTCCATATATGTAATACTTCTATATTGATAGTAAGCTAACATCTCAATGTGTAAGCATTCCGAAATCAAAGCGAGACAGTCTAGTACTGTTTTTATACCCGAGCGCACTTGTGCACAAGGGTATTATAACTTTGTTCACATAACGGTTGTTTGTAACAGGCAAAACGAATCGAGATAGATATAGACAAATGTATACATAAATGATCAGAATGAAAAAAGAAATCGATTAAGCGGTGACTGTCTGTCCGTCCGTCCGTCCGTCTGTCCGTCTGTGCACACGATAACTCGAGTAAAAATTGAGATATCTTAACGAAACTTGGTACGTGCACTTCTTTCGGGCGTAGGACGGATGGTATTGAAAATGGGAAAAATAGGACAATAACCACGCCTACCTCCCATATAACGGTAATTTTCAGAAATACGAAAACTGCGATATTTTAGTAACTACTGAAGATAATTCACTCAAAATTTATATTTACAATGAGTTTTAGCCACGCCTACTTATGGTTACATGTGTATATCTTGGTAACCGCTGCACCAATTTCTTCCAAACTTGGCACAGTTGTTGGCCCTGGTACAGCATACCAAATGGCCGAAAACTTTTAAAATCGGACAATAACCACGCCCACATCCCATATAACGGTAATTTCGAGAAATACGAAATCCTCGATAAATCAGTAAATATTAAAGCCAATTTATTCAAAATTGATGGTTGCAACAATTCCTTACCAGGAAATACGTCTATAATAAAATTTTGGAAAATGGGCGTGGCACCGCCCACTTATGATCACATATATGTATCTCGGTAACCGTTCTACCAATTTGTATTAAACTCGGTATTTTTGTTGTGCTTGCTACATAAAAGCAAAACGATGAAAATTATTGAAATCGGACTAAAATTATGGCTTTTCATGTAACGGTAAATTTTAGAAATGCTTTAAACGTCAATATTTTGAAATTTATGGACGCTAATTTACTCAAAATTGATACACCCCGGCTTACCATGTAGCGGTAGCTTTCGGAAAGGTGAAAATCATATATTTAATATTTGCGCCGGGTATTTAATGTTCGGCTCCGCCCGAACTTAGACTTTCTTACTTGTTGTCAATGTATTGTGTACTTGAGTGCCGGTTTTGTAAATGTGTCGTGTACATGTTTATTTATAAACGTATGTGTTCCTTTTCTTTCGTACGTGTTTATTGATATATCTGTACTGTAGTGTTTTCGGACGGTACTAGCTCTTACTGCCAATGTAGGAGTATTACATATATGATATCTTCTAAGTATGTTTACTTGATTCAAATATATGGGCATAAATGATTTCCCATACAAAATCACTTCGTCATCATTTTGCAAACGCGTGCATGCGTTGGAAGTGAGGGAAGGAGACAAAAAGTATGTATGTGTGCGTAAGTATATGTTTCGTCTTTTGATAAACAGATGGCGCAATATCTACAACCTAATCGCAGTGTATGTACATATGTAAATACAAACATACGTACATATGTTAATTGCAGTTAATGTGCATCTGTTTCTACTTTTTAACCGACTTCCAAAAAAGGAGGAGGTTATCAGTTCGTCGGAATCTTTTTTTTTTTTATGTATGTTACCGCATAACTTTGGACCACGTCAACCGATTTCGATAATTCTTTTTGCATCGGAAAGGTAGTGTCTCAGAGGTGGTCCCATACTAATCTGGTTAAGATCCGATCAGCGGATCATGAGATATATATATATATATATTTTTTTTTATATGAGAGTTGAAGTCGGTTTTTTTTTTTCTAAAAATTACTTGTTAGTAATCTATGTATGTCTATACAATTATATATGTACATACATATTAAAACACTGCACGGATACATTTGAGTCGCCCAACAAGACATTTGTTAGCAGCGCAATTACTTACTCTCTTTATCTCTCCATTCTCTTGTTGAGTGCGGGCAAACACAAACCGCTTGGAGTATGCCTAAGTAAAAAACCGATCAATAGCAAGAAAATAAGTATTTGCCTTGCAAGCGACAATTACCTCGACGGAAAAATATCCGCAAGCGGCGTACTGTGCTTGCGAGTATTTGAGTATTTTCATAGAGCGGTTGTTTGTTGGTATTTGGGTTCTGCTAATTATGTGCTTATGCGCACATGTACATATGTATTTATATCAAAGATATTGTTGATCCTTGCCCTTACTACTACGTTATTTGGTTAAAAATATACAATATATATGCACATACATATGTATGTATTTATTTCAGTTTGCTGCAATAAGGTAATGAATAAAGTTATAAAAACTAGTCAATGTTAAAGAAATCTGTATAGTTTATTTGTTAAACGGGTATAATAATCCAGAACAAATATGTAAGGAAAGAAAATATAAATTTAACGAAAGAATGCTTTTCAATAACAAGTATTTTAAATGAGGTGTGCATCACAATTATACGCCGACCATATATTGAAAAGTTTTGACTATTAATTTGTCATTATTTAATTTGTTTTTTTTATAAAAATATAATTTATTCTCTAACAACCATACGAATTTCTAGCTTTTTCATTAGATTTCGTTGAATATGCAGCTTTGTAACCCATGTAATTTTAATACAATGAAGTGCATGTATGAAGTAGCAAGGACATACAGTTGATATTTTGGGATTTTTTTTTTTATTGACGGTGTCAGTTATTTCTTCCATACGAAGCATGTATGTATGTTAACACAATTTTTTTTATATGGAGAAAATGACCTATAACAATAAAAAAATTTACAAATATCAACGTTAAGTCCTAGCTACATCAAACTTGCACTTTATGGTATTAAAATTGAGTGGGCTACAAAACTGCATACTTAAAAGCTTTCTGAGTAATCCAATCAAAAATCTGAAATTTTTATGTATTTCTCTATCGATCGTGTATCGTTCGTAAATGACTGCAAACATTAATACATTAAAATAATAGAAGTGAAATATGTATTAAGGCTGTGTGCGAGTTGACCTAAATTTTAGTACCTAGACTAATATTCCACTTTAAATTTCCAGCCTCTTTCATTTGATATGTATATCTATGTATATACTTATATAGTGTACACTAGGGCGGGTCATTTTTTTTTTCGACATCGTTCCTATCAGATTCGGATTCTACATGAAATTCTAAGAAAAAAAGCCCTTTAGACCATAGCTCTAAAATCAATTTCGAGCCTGCGCAATTTTAAAAGAAAATATCTTTAATTAATACTAAGTCCATAATCAGATTAATATTTACTAAAGTGTTAGGAATGTTTTTTTTTTTTGTAATAAAGAGTTGTGCTACGGAGTTTTGTGATATGAAAAATTCATTTCTGATATCTATTTTTTATTTAAAGAACCGCAAGATGGCGCTTCAAAGCAAATCTACTATATATTTGTGGATTTATGTATGTATGAATGTGCCAGGTTGCAGCCTAAACGGATGGACAGAATCGAATAAAATTTTTCCAAAATATTGGCATGACTCCTGGATCTATAATAGGGTAAAAAAATTGGAACTCGCCAAGGGGGCGGGAAGGGGATGGGGTACCTCCCATAGTGAAAATTTTTAGTCAGCTCTAACTTCGGAATTATAGTCACATGAACTCGAAATTTGAAATGCACAATTACCTATGGTAGGTGCTTATGGAAAGATATATGCATATAAATGAGTTTGTAAAAAGGGGCGTGGAATCTTTTATCAGCTATAACAGCAGGCAGTATTAGTGATCTCATTGTATTGTATTTTGAAGATTTGGTATAATTGAGCAAGGTGAAATTCAAATAAATTATAGATGATATGAAGTTCACCGGGTCATCTTCTATTCTTTAATATATACTACTTAAGTTAATATACGGATTAATATTTACTAAAGTGTTACGAATGTTTTTTTTTAATACAATAAGAAAACAGTAACTATAATTTAAAGGAGTGGCACACAATGGCTAGAGTCGTCGCATGTGTGTATTCTTTCATATATATATATATGGTTCGTTCTTACCGTTATATATTTATTTTTCATCCACTCGCTTATTCCTTACCGAAAATTTTAAATAAAAGTTTAACAAGTTTTAACCCCTGATACAGTACAGGTAGCAGTTTAAAATGGGTAACTGGGTAAACTTAATAAAGAAAATATTTTCTCTGGTTAAATTAATAAGCCTGCCCGGATAACACAAAATCCTAAGCTTAATAAACATTTAGTGTTATAAAAGTTTTATAAAGCTCTACTTGTAATAAGGTAAAATGCCGAAAAAAAAATTATAAAATTGATTGATTGATTGATAAAAATAGAGAGGGAGTTATGGCTATGACAATAGAAAGTAGAAAACAGATACCTCGTGTTGAAAGCAAAAAGGATATAAAACGGTACACGTAACGGTAACGTATATGAGAATTGAAGTCGGTTTTGTTTTTTGTTTAAAATTTACTCCAGTGTAAACAGCTTCTATAAAAGAGTCGTAGGCCATATTTTTTAACCGACTTCCAAAAAAGGAGGAGGTTATCAGTTCGTCGGAATATTTTTTTTTTTTTTTTT